GGATACTAGCTGATAATTGCCTCCATCCAGAAACAGGACATATTTCTCACAATGCCCTAGCTATTTATTCCACTTACATAAATACACCCTGTCCCCTTGTTTCTATGTGCTAGCTCTAAAAGCAGTGACTGGGTTCCCTGTTTATTACTGGCTTAGCTTCACTCATACAGCTCCCTGCCAGGTGTTGCTGCATTCAGAAACAAGAGACCAGTTGGCAAACCCAAGACTTTCAGAGCTACTTCTAGGTCAGCATGATAGAAGTATATCTTGCATACCATTATCAGAAACAGAAAACCTGAACATATAGGAGAGGTGCCTTCCAAATATTGGGTAGCAAAGACTTTTGAGGCGATTCCTCTGGAAGCATTTTGAATTAGGCAAACAAATCCAAAGCAACTCACCACTTGTTGAAAGGCAGATCTGCTTTGACCTCCATCTACAGGAAAAATGGAAAGTAGTTTCCTTCTCCTAAAGAACTCTTCAGTGAATCATGGTCTGGCTGTAGGGAAGTGATTGTCTAGGAAGCAGTATTGCTAAAAGGGATTTAGGGGTCATAGTGGACCACAAGTTAAACATGATTCAACAGGGTGACACTGTTGCAAAAAAAGCAAACAAGATTCTGGGATGTGTTAACAGGAGTGTTGTGAGCAAGACACGAGAAGTCATTGTTCCACTCTACTCTGTGCTGATTAGGCTTCAGTTGAAATATCACATCCAGTTCTGGGCACCACATTTCAAGAAAGATGTGGAGAAACTGGAGAAGGTCCAGAGAAGAGCAACAAAAATTATTAAAGGTCTAGAAAACATGAGGGAAGACTGAAAGAACGGGGCTAGTTTAGTTTGGAAATGAGAAGACTGAGAAAGGAGATGATAGTTTTCAAGTATCAAATGGGTGTTACAAAGAGGGAGAAAAATTGTTCTCCTTGGCCTCTGAGGATAGGACATGAAGCAATGGGTTTAAACTGCAAGGGAGATTTAGGTTGGACATTAGGAAAAACTTTCTGTCAGGGTGGTTAAACACTGGAATAAGTTGCTTGGGGGGGGTTGTCGAATCTCCATCACTGGATATATTTAAGAGCAGGTTAGACAGACACCTGTCAGGGATGATGTAGACCAGTGGTTCCTAAACGTTTCAGCATCACGTCCCCTCTTTGATTATTGAGAAACCCTCATGTTCCCCTCCACCCCCCAAAATAGCAGCAAAACTTGTTGAGAAAAAAAAAAGGAACTGACTGGGGCCAAAAAACAGTTGAGACCCCTTTAATTCCAAGGACCAGTGTAAAAAAAAGGTGCCGGTACTCCAGGGGAAAAGTTGTTGCCCTTTTAAGAGCAGAGCAGGCATTACCCTTTTAAGGCGGCCATTTTGAAGTCTGCCTGGAATGTTCCATCCTCTCCCCACCCCAGCCAGCCCAAGCTGCACATGTTCAGGTGGACACCCGAGCAGGAAAAACAGAAAATACCGGACATTTCACTTGGTATTTTTTGAATTTTTTTTCCGGATGGAGTGGGCTTTTTTTGGAGGGGGGAGGGGGCTGAGCCACCTCGTGCCTCCCCTGGATTTTCTTCCCCCCCCCAAGGGGCGCACACACCCAGTTTGGGAACCTATGATCTATAGTGGTTGGTCCTGCCACGAGGGCAGAGGAGTGGACTCGATGACCTCTTGAGGTCCCTTCCAGTTCTATGATTCTATTCTATGGTTCTTCTTATCCCAACCTCACCTATCATTCTTTGAGACTGTAAACCATTTGGCTCCATATGAAGAAAACTCAGGAATACTTTAGGGATGCGTTTCTCAAACTGTGGGTCCTGACGCCCCCGGGAGGTCGCGAGCAACTTAAGTGGGGGGTCACGGTATCACAAAGTTTGAAAACCCTTGTTTTAGAGATATGAATAAGTAGTTGACTAGTCGATTAACTGATAAGCCTAGGCTTATCAGTTAATCTAATTGACTACTCACATTTCCCCCCTTGCTGCCTCTGATACAGAAGCAGCAAGAGGGGTGGGAAGCAGGTGCCAATGCTGGGGGGAGCCAGCTTAAGAGCTGATTCCCCCCAGCATCAGCTCTATGGTGCTGCCTGCCTCTCCTCTACCCCCCGCACTGCTGCCTCTATATATCAGAGCAAGCAGCGTGGGGGTGGGGGCAGGTGCTTCATTGCAGCAGCAGCCCCTTCAGAACATCCCTCTGCATCCCATGGAGCAGCCTCTGTCCACAGGGAGCCTGAGCCTGCCACAGGAATAATCCCATTTATTAGAACTACCAGTCCAGAACTTTAGGTTCATGACAAGCTTTATCAGAGATGTACAACTCCCCTCCTTAAAAAAGTACTAACTATATTTTCCAGCATTTGAATTGATTCACTTATCTGTCGACTGCAGAATGCTCCCTCATATTTCTCCTGATATAAAATAGGACAGGTACTTAAAAGCTAGTTATCACATTGTATATGTGGAATTGAATGCATCAAGTAACTCTGAATTATTAGAATACTATTTTATTGAATAGTAAAAATATTTTCACTGTAGTATTTTCATTATATTTTCCTTTATATCACTCTATGAAATGATTCCATCCCCTGTGCAGAAATTGAACTACAGTCCATTTTTCAATATGACAATTTCTAGTGCTGGAAAAAAACAAGCCATATATAATACTTGTACATACTTTATATATACAGGTAGTGAAGAAAACAAGGGCTTATTAGCTGCAATGACATTAATAGTAATTCAAAACATCTCACCAACTAGTGTGGTACTGGAAGTCGTTTTAAGGGGGAATGCAATTGGCCAGTCATACTATTGAGATATGAAGTATTTCTGAAGTGAAGCTTTTAACTGAAAAACCCAAACATAAGGGCTATGTCTACACTGGCATGATTTTCCGGAAATGGTTTTAACAGAAAAGTTTTCCGTTAAAAGCATTTTCGGAAAAGAGCATCTAGAGTGGCACGGACACTTTTCCGCAAAAGCACTTTTTGCGGAAAAGCATCTGTGCCAATCTAGACGCGCTTTTTTGCAAAAAAGCCCCGATTGCCATTTTAGCCATTGGGGCTTTTTTGCGCAAAACAGTACTGTGCTGTCTACACTGGCCCTTTTGCGCAAGTCATTTGCGCAAGAGGGCTTTTGCCTGAACGGGAGCAGTACAATATTTCCGCAAGAACATTGACGATCTTACATGAGATCGTCAGTGTTCTTGCGGAAATGCAAGCGGCCAGTGTAGACAGCTGGCAAGTTTTTCCTCAAAAGCAGATGATTTTGCGGAAAAACTTGCCAGTCTACACACAGCCCAGGACAGTTGGGATATATCTTGTTGAACTCTTAAATGTGAACATCCCTTTCTAAAGATAAACTAAAGTGCTGCAAGGCTACAATTTCCCCCAACTTATTTCGTAAAACTGAACTGAGTATTTATTTAATCTATCTACCTATCTTTTAGAGATCTGTACATCTGTCTGTAGAATAACTCACAGACAGATGCAAAATGCAGGACAATGTAGCACTTTAAAGACTAACAAGATGGTTTATTAGATGATGAGCTTTCGTGGGCCAGACCCACTGAGGAAGTGGGTCTGGCCCATGAAAGCTCATCATCTAATAAACCATCTTGTTAGTCTTTAAAGTGCTACATTGTCCTGCATTTTGCATCTGTCTGTGAGTCTGCTTGTTCAATAACTCCTAAACAGTAGGAGCTAGGACCACCAAATTTGGTCTGCAGCTTTCTCTTCTCTTAACTTAAAGTAAGGTCAGAGGTTTGTGCCAGGTCAACCAGAAGTGCCAGGAAAGGGACTGTTTTCCATATGGAAAGGGAGGAGATGGGCTGTTCAGAGGGAAACAATATGGAGAGTGGCCACTGGGGGCAGTTGTACTTCCAAGGGAGTGTCCAGCAATACCGGGGCTCCACCATCTTGCCTGCCACTAGACTGGATAATTAGCTCTCCTGCCCCAAACCTTTCCCTCTGCTCTCCTGGCCCTTGGCCACTGTGCTGGGGGATAGGGGTAGAGAAAAGACCCCTGGCGGTCAGGAGGTACAAGGGAGGAAAAAAAAGATCCCTGGTGGCCAGTGGTGGTGTCTGGGGGGAGAAAAAGGCTCCTGATAGCTGGGGGAGGGAGGGGAGAGGGGAGGAAGGGTGGCAGCTGTGGGAAGAGAAAAGATGGGATCCATCCCAGCCCCTCTCTACCTCCAGTCCTTTATTCTCATCCCCCAGCCTCCTGCACAGCCCCCCACAACCCAAGGTCCTGCCCTGACTCCTGCACCCACCACACCATGAGCTCCCTGCCTTGAAAGACCAGGACAATGCCAGGTAAGTCTTCTAGTTATTAAACAATTCAGGGCCATACTGTCCCCTCCCTGTGGTAAAACCAAGAGTGGAGAGAGAGCATGCTAAGGATAAATCTACATTGCCACTTTACTGCACTGCAACTTTCTGGCTCAGAGTGAGAAAAAACATCCTCCCTCAAGCACAGCAAGTTAGAGGGCTTTAAAGCACCAGTGTAAACTGGGCTACAGCAATGGAAGCTGTGCGCCCAGCAGAATTAGCTACTCCCCTTGGGAGGCAGTTTACCTGAAGCACTGGGAGCTCTCTTCCCATGCTCCTGCCATGGCCACATTGCAGCATTAAAGTGCTGCCGTGGCTACACTTCAAAGAAGGGCTAATCAACTTTGGAAGCCCGGGGGACCACAATGATACTCACAGCATATGCTGAGGGCTGCAACTTAAGTGTGGTTGCATATACATGCAAATATACATGCAAAAAGCTTTTTTCACACTAACGGGCATGAATACAAAGATTAAGCCTTAAGCTGTGGCGCTGGACCCAAATGTGGCCAGTGTGAGTCAGTCAGCACCTCTCAGGCTCTGCCTACAAGGCTAAGCAGCCAGCATTTCCCATGATGCCCTGGCGCTCCCAGCACCTCCTCCATGGGGGCTAGAAATGCCGACAGCCTGTACCCATCTGTTCCAGCCAGCCCATCCGCTTGCATCTTTCAATGCTCACCCCGTCTGGGAGATGCCTCACCATTGTGGAGCATGTTCCCAGTGGAGACCATGTTCAAAGGATCCCACCCACAGGTCATGTGTTGAGTAGCCCTGCTTTAAAGCATCTAATTATAGATAAAGCTCAAGAATTTAAGTGATACAACTCAAAGTCTCCACAGAATGCTGTACTACAGAAAAAGGGCTTTGAGGAACCAAAGGGTGATGGGCACTAAGGAGCTTGGATGGCAGCCTGCAAACTCTGCAGCTCTTGGGATTTGTGAATAAAGAAAAGTGAAGCCTTGCGTGGTGACACTTGGTCTTGTCCTTATCCTTCTGGCACTGTACTACTTGCTCCTTTGGCTGCAAACCTTACCTCCCCTGCATAGGGCTACAGGCAAAGTAGTAGTAGGGGCATTAATTTCCGTGTGGATAGTCACCTACCTCTGAAAGAGAGCCACAGGGCATGGCTGCTCCACAGCTCTTGACATTTTTGATCTCCATGGAGTCAAAGATCTTGTACAGGTCTTCTGCTGGCTCAGGAGGCCATGCTTAGGGGCTCTTTCTTTTCCCCTTTTCTGTGCCTCATGTTGGATTCCACTTTGTTTCTCCCTCCATTGGCACAGGGGAGGGGAGCTTCAAGTCCACTTATCATTGACATTTTTAATGTAACTTGCAGCTGGGAACAGAAGGTCTCCAAGCTGAATATTTCCTCTGTGAATAATCTTAATTCATGAGACAGTTACAGCAAGAAGAAAAAATGTTCAGTTTTGAATTCAGTGTCTCTATCTAGTTCTAGATAATACATTCAGGTTCCATTTTCTGAGAGCAGAGAAAGGAGTGGGGAATACCAACTAAAAGGAAGTCAGTTTGTCCTGAGAGTCTGTTTTCACACAGGAATGCATACCAAACACTCAAGAAGACTTCATTCTACATGTTTACCACAGACCCAACGAAGCTGTCGGTCAGTTCGGAGGTCAGTTAGCTCATCAATGGATCTCCAACTGCACTGACAAGCATAAGCCCGTGATCCCTTCTTCTTTATCATCTTCACTCTTAATTTACTGAGGTCAGGCATGTTATTCCTGTCAATCAAATAAGTTCACTTTAGTATGATGTTTCTTTTTTCTATAAAATAAGCACTTTGCACCATGTAGCCAAATTCTGGCATTGGATGTGTATACTATGAGTGACTTTAGGAAGAGTAGCATGTGAAGCTGAGAAAAGATGCCAGCCCATAGAATTCTGCCCTCAGAACCAGTTCCTTGTTGGTAAAGGACTGTTGCAGTGCCAGGTTCCGTCACTGTGGGAGCTATAAAAGTCCTCACACAGTGCTGGATAAAATTATTGAATGGGCTTGTCTCATGCAATTTTAAAAATCACATTAATGGTAAGCACTGAGGTTATAGTGCAATAGCTTCTCTGGTTTAATGATTTAGAGGCTTATATACTCAAGTCATTTTAACGTTGTTTTTTTTTTAAAACAAGAAAAAACTATGTTTTAGCAAATAAAAATTCAAGAAGGCAAAACCTTGGGTCAAAACCCTCCTGGGACCCTATTTTTAGTAACATTAGATGGAAGAAAAGGAACTTTTTGTATTGTGGTAATGTTGATCCCCCCCATGGGTGGTCTATGCAGATTGGGAGAGAGTATAACAGCTGGGGTGAGGGCAAGGGAGATAGCCACTCTCTGAAGCACTGTTCCCTCCCTCCCCGCCACTAAAAAATCCCTGAAAAAACAGAAATGATGTATAATTCTGACTGGAGCAAAGTGTCTTGCTTGTTCTTTCCCCTCTGCGGTATACACCCTCTAGGGAAACAGGAGATTATGGATCGGCAACAAGAGGGAGAGTCCAGTGCAATAATAGCCTGCATTCAAGCCACATGCTAGGTTACGAAACATGCGTTAGGCCTTGATTCAGAAAAGCACTTAAAAACATGCTGGCCATTAAGTGTGCACTCAAGTCTCATTACTTTTAATGGGATTTAAGTGGGTGTTAAAATGCTGTCTTGGATATAATGCTTTCCTAAGTAAAGGTCTCAGTGCACTGTAACTACTGTTTACAGGTGTACTGAAACCAGAAATTTTTGTAGGCTTGGTTCTCTGCTGGTTCTGCAGAAGAGGCAACTCCATCCTGCAAAGTACGGCGTAGACTAAAGTAGCGTCAGCTCTCCTACTTGAGAATAACCTAAAGAGGGGTCAATCTGGTCTAACGAGTGAATCTGAAGTACATTGTAAATATTCATTTAGTTTAGATTCATACAGTATCTGTAAAGTTATCCCAAGTTAACTAGTTCATTTGTATCATAAATGAATACATATGCATAGTGACATTCTGCTGTCAAGAAATAGCATATGCAAATTAATCATTATAGGATCAGTGGTGAGAGGATAAGGGTACTAGTGCAGAGTAGAAAGACAAAAAGATCACACCACATAATATAGAATGACAGACAACAGGGAGAACGTGAACCAAATCACAAGTTACTTCTACACTAGCATCCAGATCTTCAAATGAAGCAAAGTACCAGCGTAAAAATCTGTTATTTCAAAAACCAAGTGTTGACTTAATGTTTTAACCATGACTGACATGTAGCCTGCTCTTTCCTTTAATTTTCATCTGCTGCCCTTATACCAGTTCAAATAGTACACTGATGGAGTACAATAAAAATGTTGAAATAGAAATCTGAGAACAAAAAACAGTGGGGTAGATATTTATTTACTCATTTGCTTGCCCATCCTTAAAATCTCATTTTTATACTATTTATTTTGGAAAGATTAACAGGTTTACACATCCATGTCACGTATGTATGAAAAACAAAATTATTACAAGTGAGCTTTTGTTAAAGGACATTACATAGGAATATGGTCATTAGATCTCTGTGTTTAACAATTATATTTACAGAGTAAGCATTAATACAAGATTTAGGACATGTTTAACAGACCAGGTGTGTCTAATATTAACATTAAAAAAACTGAATAGGTATACTTGTTTAATTTGCAGAGGAATGTAATCAAATATCTGAGACCTAGTCTACACTACAGAGTTAGGTTGATGTAAGGCAGCTTATGTCGACTTAATTATGTTAGTGTACACAATAAAGCCTTGTCTTGCTGATGTACGGGCATGTCTACACTACAGAGAAGATTGACCCTCCGAAGGTCAAGCTTCTAGGGTTCGATTTAGTGGGTCTAGGGTAGACCCCTATATCAAATGCTGAGGGCAGCCCCCATGGGTGTCTGGTGCTCCTCGTTCTGCGAGGAGTAAGGGAAGCAGGCAGGAGCAGGTGCTCCCATCAGCTTCCCACTGGGTGGATGGGGATTTAAGGTATGTTGACTCCAGCTATGCAATTAACATAATTGGAGTAGTGTATCTTAGGTCAACCTTCCCCTCCAGTGTGGACCAGGCCTAAGTGCCTAAGGCATCAACATAATACAGGCAGTCCCCGGGTTACATCAATCCGACTTACGTTGGATCCCTAGTTACAAACGGGGGGGCGCAGCTAGTGCGGGGTGCCTCCCCCACTGTCACCGCCTCCAGCGGCGCGGGGGGCACGCTTCCCCCCAGCAGATCAGGGAGATGCAGAGCGTCTTTTCTCAGCAGACACCTCAGCTTGAGAATAAAGGACTGAGGGAAGTGAGGTGTGGGAGAATAAAACTGAGCTCTGGAGAAATGTTTGGCTAGAGTTTCCCCTACAATATGTACCAGTTCCGACTTACATACAAATTCAACTTAAGAACAAACGAGCTGCAAGTATCTTGTTAGCGTCACTTTTAATCTCCAAATTTCCCCGCCTACTAGAGGCACCCCAGCTGGAGGAACTGCAGAGAATAACTTGTACATTAAATAATATATATTCTGCCCTTTTATTCATGAAACTCTCTAGTTAACAAAGAGTCAGATTAAAAAAATTATCAGGGCAGAGCATTAATTAAAAACAAAGGTCTTTCAAGTCTTAGGATCAGAGAGAACACAAAGGATGTCCTAAAACAATAAGGAAGAGAATGTTAATAACAAGATGTCTTATTAATGTGTTGTTATAAGGGGTCAGCGTTCTTTGCAAGCTACAATACACCCCCTGGTGTTCACACAATTTGAACATCTAGTTAACCTGACCAATGTTTTGCAATAGAACAAATTTTTGATCAAAACAGATTTTATCAAAATAAGTGGAATTCAAGGTATTTAAATTCCCTATATAAATCAGGAATATGCCTCTTATTTGTGATTAAGGTTCTCAGGAAAGGTTTTAGAGAAATTAGAAGCCAAAATGGCTAAAGGATAAATCCAGAGACTTCAAATCCCCATTGGAGTGAAGTGGCAGAGAATTACCACAATTTAACCAAAAATAAAACTTTTGAAAGTGATTGGATCAGGATTTTTTGTCCCATGGAAACCCTCACATTTAGTTAAACGTCTGCATTTTTACAACAAAGGCTTTCAAACTGCTTGAATCTCACTGTGCAGCTTATATACATAGTATTTAACAGCAGAGAGGAAGAAGTGACAGAAGCAATAAGTCAGTGTCACAAAAAGCATGATGGCAAATATACATAACATAAGCAGAGTCATATTTTTACTTTATTCATGAATGAGACATACTGCACTAGAACACAAGAGGCAAAATTCATCACTAGTGGAAGTGACATTAACTTACATAGAGCAGCACCTGACTATGCCAGCAATAAATATGGGCCTTTATCTATTAAAACGTACATTTCTGATAAGCATATTACTCCCCCCCCCCATAGTAATTACAAGCCTATCTGAAGCATACCTGAAAAAGAGATAATCACATGATTTATCCCACTGGTAGTCATTGTAATGAGACACATGGAAGTCACAGGCAGTACAACGTAGCTGATCACATGTTCTGTTCAAAGTAACAGAATCAAATAGCAGTGATGTATTACAAAAATACATTAAGATTTCAAAATCAAATTTGCTTAAAAGTTGCAAAATGCTAGAACTATGCATTATACATGTTTTTATTACACGATCCCTGATCATACTTTCCACTGCCTCACTGAGTGCACAAGCTGGATGGTGCCCTGGGAACTAATTAGGTTAAACTCTGATCATCTGAAGAAGTGGGCTCTGCCCACGAAAGCTCATGATACCATCTACATGTTTGTTAGTCTAAGTGCTACCAGACCATTTGTTGTTTTTTTAAGTTTATCCAGTACAGACTGACTCAGCTACCCCCTGAAGCTAGGTTAATTTAGTTTATGTAGGCTGCTATCTCAACTCCTCCCCCATTTGGATGATGAAAATAGAAGGTGTGCAGTGAATGAGGCAGTGGATTGTAGGAAGAGAAGGCATGGTCTTATCACTAAGAAAGCTAAAAGATTCCCTTGAATGTATTAGGTAAATTATTTACTAGTAGAGAATGCTGGTATTTTAAAAGCTTATTTTTTCATACTGATTTTTATGTAAGATTGTCAATGTTTCCTGATGAAAAATACAGAAGTCTACATTTAGGATATTAGACTGTAGAGCTATGTTAGTGTTGTGCAGTAGGATAATATGTTGCATAGGGCTCAAAAGCAGCTGAACTGCTACTCTATTAAAGATCACAAAGGAAAAGGCCACTGAGGAAGACTGCTTCCCCTGCCCATTAAGAAGCAATATTTCACAATTCTTCTCTCTCAGCAAAGTAATTTGAGTGGTTGCACGATGTGTGTAACCACAACTAAGTAGTTCCATTAAACAAAACTGCCTTTTGAATAAGGGATGTAGAGGTCACATACACAGCTGAAGCTAGTGGGCACCAAAGTGACTCTACAGGGAAAAATTAAGTTTCCCACATAAACTCCCTGTGCAAATCCTTAGCATAGGAGTCAAGATTTGGCCTATAATTCTGGTTGTGAAGACACAGTTTGTTACAAACACTTGAAAAACATGACTTAGAATAAAACTCCCATTGGGCTGAAATTTCTTGTGACTGGCTCTGGGTTATTTTATTTATTTCCTGCAAAGGAAAAGATTGCCTTGCATGCTTTTTCCTTCCTAAAGATGGCCAGAAATTTTAACTGATTAAAAAAAAATAGAAATCCAAGTCCAGCCTAAGCTGAGTAATTACGACTGGAGAACTAATGAATTGGTGATATCATAAGAGCCTACCCTACTTTTAATAAAAAACCTTTAGCGTCAATACTGAGCAGATAAACTCTCGAGGTCTCTAAAACACACACATGACATAAATCACATGTAACTCTATCAAAATTTCTTATGTGTTTAGGTAAGGTAAGTTTAACCCAATTATTTACATTTGGTATAACAGGATTAAAAAAAAACCTAGAAAGTTTATGGAGGATAGGTCCATCAATGACTATTAGCCAGGATTGGTGTTCCCAGCTTCAGTTTGCCAGAGGTTAGGAATGGGTGATACCTGATGATTATCTCTTCTATTCATTCCTTCTGGGGCACTTGGCATTAGCCACTCTCAGATGACAGGATACTGGGCTACATGGACCTTCGGTCTGACCCAATATGACTGTTCTGATCATCTCTCAACAGAAACTTTACATAAGAACCTTATCTTGGATTAAGATTGTAATAATGCAAATAAAGTCCTTTCAGATTTCCTACCTCTGAGAAATATTTGTTCCTATACCATGTGGTGTAGAGCTTCCGCCAATATACACTGGACAACAACTACACGAATTCAACAGAGAAACAGTAAAATTAGTTGAGAGTCACTTGGAAAAAGTAGCATAATAACAACAACCTAATTTGATTTGACTCAGCCTGTCATCCTCCAATGAGCATATGTACCTTTTCAGCAAATGCATTAATTACTTAGGACTGTAAGGCACAGTATTTATAAAATAAGTGTTACTTTACTGGACTAATGCTGAACATCCAGGAGCATAGGAGTTAAAAGTTTTTCAACGTGCATAAGCAAGAGTCACAAAACACTACTAGGTGCAATGTGTTCACGGAATAGTATAGGGACTGAAACATAGAAAAGCAAAACAGAACATCTAATTTTGAACTGTTAATGCTTTTCCATGTGGCAGAACATTATTTGCAACTACAATAATATGTAGCACTGTAATGTAACCTTACAGACAACATGCCTTATAGCGGGGTGGGCAATAATTTTTGAGGGGAGGGGGTTACTTCAAAAATGTATGAAGTGGTCGCAGGCTGCCCCAGAAGGAGTGGGGCCTCAGATGGAAGGGGCAGAGCCTCGGATGGAAGGAGCAGAGCCTTTAAATAGCAGGAGTTGAAAAGGCTGGAGCCTCCCCTGCAGCTCCCAGGCATCATGTTAGCTGGAGATGGGAGCTGCAAGCCCTTTCAATTCCTGCTATTTAAAGGGCTCACTGCTCCCGGCCTCACTGCTCTCGGCCACGCTGCTAGCGCATTGCCTGGGAGCTGGGGACATATGAGGCCTTTCAACTGTTTCTATTTAAAGGGCTTGTGCCTTCCCTGGGGCTGTTGCCTGGAAGTTGAAAGGGCTTGTTGAAGCAGTTAAAAGGGCTTGCATGTCCTTGGCTTCCAGGCAACGTGCTAGCGTAGAGCCAGAGCTGTGAACCCTTTCAATTGTTTCTATTTAAAGGAGTAGATCCGGCCAAGTGGCTGTCAGACAATGCAGCCACCTGAGAGGGGAGCCCTTTAAACAGAAACAGTTAAAAGTGCTTGCAGCTCTGGCACCTCTGGTGCGTTGGCTGGGAGCCGGAGACACGCGAGCCCTTTCAACTGCTTCTATTTAAAGGGCTCACACCTTCCCCATGCCTGTCAGGCAATGTGTGGCCTTGCAGTCCCAGGAAGGCGTGAGCCCTTTAAATAGAAGCAATTAAAAGGGCTCACGCATGGCTTCCAGGAAATGCGCTACCAGCAGGGTAGGAGTTGCGAGTCCTTTTAACTGCTTCTATTTAAAAGGCTCAGGCAAGCCCTTTAAATAGAAACAGTTAAAAGGGCTTGCAGTTCTGGTGCCGCTAACGCATTGCCTGGGAGCCGGAGATGAGCGAGCCCTTTCACCTGCTTCTATTTAATATGCTCATGCAGGCCTGGCCACAGAGTCTGTGGGGCCCAAGGCGACATGTTGTGGTTGGCTGCACCGCGTGGCTGTGCAGCTCCTAGGCAGGGCAGCGAGTGAGCAGCTGGCGGGCAGGTGCTGGGCAGCACGGAGCCCGAGGCAACTGCCTTGCTTGCCTTGCCCTAAGGCTGGGCCTGGGCTCATGCCTTCCCCACAACTGCCAGGCAACGTGCTACCTGACAGGTGCAGGGAAGGCGTGAGCCCTTAAAATAGAAGCAGTTGAAAGGGCTTGTGCGACTCCGGCTCCAGGCAATGCAGTAGGGGGCAGGTGCTGGAACAGCCGTGCGGGCTGGATCAAAGCCCTTGGTGGGCCAGATCTGGCCTGCTGAATGGCTTTTGCTCACCCCTGCCTTATACTGATGGACTTAAGGAACTCAATCTATCTTAACAAAGAGAAGCCTTATGGGAGACCTGATCACGGGCTACAAGTACCTACATGGAGAACAGATATTTGATAATGAGGGCTTCAGTCTAGCAGACAAAGATATAACAAGATCCAGAGACTAGAAGCTGAAGCTAGACAAATTCAGAATGGAAATAAAGTGTAAGTTTTAAATGGTAAATAACCACTGGAACAATATACCAAGGGTTGTGCTGGTTTCTCCATCAGGGCAGTTTTTAAATCAAGACTGGATTTATAAAAGGGATTATACTGGAAGAGGTTCTATGGCCTGTGTTATTCAAGAGATCAGAGCAGATGATTACAATGGTCTCTTCTGGCTTTGGAATCTATGAAATGAATGAAAACAACTTCTTTGTACTATGGAGGCACAAAACTGTCAAAAAGCTGCATTATTTGTTCTTTCTCCTATTAAAGCTCCTCTAAATACTTAGCTCCTTTGCAATTCAGCGTCGTCATCTCTCTATATATTTTAGAGTTTGTGCATCTGTCTGTTTTTCCATGAGTCCGTCCATCCTTCTGTGAGTCCATTTGCTCAAGAACACCTCCTATATGGTAAGAACTAGGACGACTAAATTTGGTACGCGTCTTCTTCTTATCCTCATCAATTGTTTTCCGTAACGTGGAAAGTGAGGGTTCGGATAGAAGGGACAGTTATGCTCCACAATGGCCACTAGGGGCAGCATGCATGGGGGACAGTTATATTGCAGATTGACCACAGAAGGGCAGCAACACCAAGACAACAGTGGCCAGCTCAAGCTCTCCATATTGCCAGCCACCGGCCCAGGTAAGTGGCTTCCAGTCCCCAAACCCTTCCCCCCTGGGGCCCCCCCCCCAGCCAGCAGCTCCAGCCCTGCTGCGAGAAGCTGCTTGCCCCTCAGCTGGAAGAACTGCCAGGCGGCAGAGAAGCACCAGCAGGGCCGGGCAGCCCAGCCCCACCCTCTCTGTAAAGAGCCACCATCTGGGAGGCCAGGCAGGCCCCCCATGAGAGCTCCTGGCCGGGGGAGGGGAAAGGGGGGCTGGTCAGCACAATACTGGTCCTCGCTCCCCCTGAGAGGAGCTTCCAGGGCAGTGCAGTTCTGGTCCCCAGGAGGGGCCACCGTCGGAACAGTGCCACCTTCACTGCCACACGCAGCCTCGGTAAGCCCCTCCTCCCTGACCTCTCAGGCCCCTACCCTGAGCCCTCCCCATCTCTCACCCCCCACCCTGACTCCTGTACCGCTACCCCTTGCCCATAGCCTCCCCACCTCCCAGCCCCCTCTCTGAATCCTGCACCTCTCCCACACCCGTTGCTGTAAGCTTCCCACACCCACAGCTCCCTGCCATGGTCCCCTTGCCCTAAATCCTACAACCCCCCTGGCCTGAGCCCCCCCCTTTAAGTACCCCATCCCTGCCCTGAATCCTGTAGCCTCAGCTCTGCCCTGAGCTTCCCAGACCCCTGCATCATCCACCCCTTTGCCTGAGCCCCTTCACCTCTCAGCCCTGAGCACCCGCACCCTAGCCTCCTGCCCTGAAGGATCTGAGCAATGATGGGTAAATCTAGTAGTTTAAATAGTAGGCATTATTAATAGTATTCTGATGATAGAATGTATACACCGTGCACTCAGTTCAGCATTCGTCCCATACCTTTTACCATGAGCCTGAATGGAAGCACTATTTCCTTCAGATGTGGGATTTTCAGATTTAGATCTCAGTTTCTATCTCAAAACAAAGAGAGAACCAGGAATACCATTATAACATAATCATTCAGTTTTGCTTAATAAGCATTGGCCAGAAACTGGTCTGATGGAAGCTGGAATGAGGGTAGACAAACTGCAAGCCACCCACCACCGTGTTCTGGCTCTTTAAAAAAGTATCACAATTTCAGTAGATACCCCCACAGGGGGATAGGGAAACAGTTTCATAGCACACCTGTACTCATTCAATTTCCTTGCCAAATGCTGATTTCCCCTTGCAGAGGGCTCTGCAAGAACCCAGCACAATGGAGGCAACAGATTCTACTCCACTCCACACAAATATATTTGGGCATTGCGGGGAGGGGTACAGGCGGGAATAATGATCTCTCTGCAGAATAGTAATCAAATAACTTGAACTCAAAATGTACATCTTTTAAATCTATCCAGCTGGGATTGTGGGTGCTCACCTTTTTTTTCTTCTTAAAGCTCATCCTAGATGTCTCAAGTATGGCACTGAAAATTAGTAAATACACTTAAAAACTGAAGCCTAAGTGACTAGCCCAAAGTGACACAGTAAATGCTTAGCATGGCTAGAAATTTAACTCTGATTCCCAGGTCTGTACGTTAACCACCAGACAATGATTCCATGAAACACTAGCATTCCAGACTGCAACATCAATTAAGATAAGGGCAAAGAAGGTAGACTGAAGAAGATAAAGCTTCTACAGGTTGCACCACTCTAATCCAGATCTCTCTCGTCCAGAAACAACTGTTGTCCAAAATTATTTTAGTTAGCTAGATGTCCACTTTTCATAGGTGTTGCCAGGTTTCCCGTGGTTCCATTAAGTTTGTTTACAGCCACCAGTCCTAGCTCTCAAGTGTTCTGTGCTGTTATTTCGCTCTAGTTTACCCCTAAATGTCTTCTAACAGCACAGTAAGCAGTGGAAATGTTGGTAAAGCTGCTAGACAATATCGACCTCCCATGGTCCAGAAAATTCTCTCATTTGGAACTGATCAGGTCTTGAGGGTTCTGGACTAAGAGGTTCAACCTGTATTTAGACAAGTATCTTGGTAATGACAGAAAAAAAATCCTGGAAAGTACAAGACCATTAATTGCAATTTTTGAAGTTTTTCCTAGTAGGAGCTCAGCTAGGGTTTATGCACTGAGCTATGGGAGACTCTGATATTGGGCTTGTGACCCAAGGACTTCTTGGGTCACAACTGGGCTTTGCCAATTATCAGAAGGCACAGGGGGTTAATTGGTTATAAGCATAACAGATCACCAAAGGGTGGCATGTGAGGTCTCTACCAAGGACCAGTAGGCTATTGATGAGTCATTTGTATATTGTATAGCTCACAACGTAGGCCTATTTGTATACTGACCCACAGGCAAAAGAATAGATCGTGAAATCTAAAAAAGAGGAAATTTGCAGGATTGAACAATGAGCAAGGGGGTACTCTGTGTCTGAATAAAGACAAAGGATGGGACTGAAACATATGGAATCCTTTATACAGGAGCCAAGCTAACAATATATTTGTCTCATGAAAGAAGGATCACTGCTAAGCTGGCTAAAAAGAGCTGCAAGGATTTTGAATAAGCCAAACTCTATAAGACATGAGAGTACTTTGGTAATTAACTAGGCTCAAGAATGCACTATAACTTTATTTTATAGGTAAACATTTGTTTCCAGTACTATTTGCTATTACTTCAATCTCTGTGCTTTGTTAAATAAACTTATGTTTGTAGTGAAATCAAGTATATCTAAAGGCTGTGTGCTGAGTGGAGCGGTGATCTGAGATAGAACAGGCAATCTGGTAAGTACTGTTTCTTTAGGAGCAGCGACTCTATGAATACTGCAAATATCCAGTGGACCAGGATCTGGACATGCCAGGGAAATGCTTAGAGGGCTCTTCCCATCATTGTGTGTGGAACTCATTCCTGCAAGAAACTACTTAGGAACCAAAGTTACTTGACTCCAGAAGCTGGGTTCCTGACCAAGGATGTTAGATATCGGGTATTTGAATAGTAATTTAACTGCATACAATCTTATTGGTTACATGACTATTCTATAGTCCCTGGGGGTGGGACTGGCAGCCACTCCTGAGGAGCCCTCTGTAACCCTGCATTGCTGCCTCTGTATGAGAGGAAGTTGCATGGAGTGGCAGAGGGAGCCAGGAGATGAGGAGCATCCGCTGTCCACAGGGAGCTCGGACCGACCCCCCCATGGACAGAGGCTGCTATTGAATTTTTCAGTGGTTACATGCTTACATATAGACACACATTTTAACAACCCTAGCTCACATATCCCAAGCTCCCAAGTTCACCGCACCTACTTGCTGTCTCAGAATTTAAAAACAAGCAACAACTTCCCTAAAAATCCCTTTTTAAAACATTTTCTGACTGAATCCCTTCCTACAGCATTTTTCAGAACTCTACTTACCACAGTTTTTGGGGAAAAGCTCTTTTCATCAATGATATCTTTAATAATGTCATCTATGTCCTCTTCATCAACAACAGCCTTTGTTAGTATTTTTGCTGATCTGAAAAATGTAGAGGAAAATCCATCGTTGTGTAAAATGAGCAGCGACATTAGTTTTAACCATAGCTCCTTAGCTTAAAGAAACGCTATAAAAACATTCAGCTATTTTCCCTCTAACATATCTTTAGTATCTAAGGCATGAAATGTTAGTGGCGTAGGAGCGCAGAAAAATTGGAAATCAGACTGAACATCTGCAAACACTATTAAATGATCAAAGCAATTTAAAGTATATTGGTCTATATACTAATGAAACTTTCCCCATTTACTCTGGCCAGGTAAAGGGGCTAAGAACAGCTACTTCAGTGGGGCCAAAATCACCATACCCAGTAAATTTGGACATGCACACACTGTAAATGGGCAGGGTGAGTTAAATCAAATGACAAACTGAAAATCATTATATTTTTTCTCGTGATTTTGGGCCCATTTAACGATTTTTGATTCTGTGAGTGTGGCAATACCCGATTTGCTGCATATCAGTGATAAGTGCATGAATACTGCAGTTTAGATAATTTAAAATCAAATTACACAGTTTGCTCGGCAGACAATGTTACAAATCTATGTATGATAGACACTCTAAAATGTTTACACTCCTTGTTTAATAAACTACATTAGTTACTGCAGAGTTTCCTATTATTGCTGTTCAGCTTGTTGCCAAATTGCTTCTTTTGAGACACAAGGAGAATGAAAGGGGTAAGGGGGCTGTGGGAATCACATAGATGGTAAAACTAGTCACATAATTTCTAACTTCCTTTAATGTTCAGAGAAACTGTATTGTTCAGTATGGGACAACAGTAACTGCATAGTTTAGTTTAGTTTTCTCACTGTGACTTCACAGCTACATGCTGACAACAGATCACCAAAGCCAGCTAGCAGACTGCCAGGGATGCAAGCAAGAGGCAGCAGAGATAAGGGCACTACACGAGTGGACACAAGCTCCAAAACATGGGCACTACATGTGAGCGGACACACAGTTGATTTGAGGAAGTGGGTCTGGCCCAGGAAAGCTCATCACCTAATAAACCATCTTGTTAGTCTTTAAAGTGCTGCATAGTCCTGGGTTTTGGTTCAGATACACCAGACTAACAGGGCTACATTTCTGTCAGAGTTGGTAGGGAAGTGCGTCCTCAGGGCTTGCCCTGTCTGGTCTGCCCTCTGCTGATCCCCCACAAACCCAGCTGGCACACTTGGTTTCTAAGAGGTTACTTTAATGACCCCCCACCAAGCCAGGAACGAGTGTGAGCCGGCAGGGACCGAGAACCCCGGGACCCAAGGGCCACAAAGAGCCCCCAGGGACTTGGGGGGAAAGGGGAAGAGGAGGAAAGAGACAAGCAGCGCCCAGGGCTATAGGGAGCGGGAAACTATGAGGGGAGCGGGCACGCGCGACATCCCAGGGAGGGAGCTGGAAGGGACACGACCACGCGCGACATCCCAGGGAGGGGCTGTGGGGGGACACGGGCACGCGCGGCGATTTGGGAAGCCAGGGTGGGGGCTGCGGGGGAAACACGACGCCCAAGGCAGGGCCGGAGCCCTCGGCCTGAGCGGCAGGGCCGGGCCCT